TCTGGAAGTGTTCCTTCTTTTTCTGTTTTTTAAAAATTAATTTAAGTAGAATTGGTGGTAGAACTTCTCTGAATATTTGGTAGAATTCAGCCATTACAACTTTTGGTCCAGGATACTTTTGGTGGGGGAGTCTTTTTTTGACTTCTTTTGTGATAGGTCTGTGCAAGTCTTCTACATTTTTCTGTGTGAATCTGGGTAGGGCATGAGTTTCAAGGAATTTGTCCATTTCCTCTAGATTTTCAAATTTATTAGAGTATCACTTTTCATAACATTTTGATATTATAGATTTAAGTTAATCCGCTTCTCTGTGATGTTGTGATATAATAATTCAGTTGAGTTACTTGTGTCTTTTCTTTTGCTAAATTTTCCAGTGGTTTGTCAATTTTATTGATCATTAAAAAAAAAACAAACCCTGTTCCTAGTCTTTTCGATGGTTTCAATTGTTTTTTTGGTTTTTTATCACATTGTTTCACCTTTTGTCTTTATGATGTCCTTTCTTTTAGAGGCAGTGCCGTTAGATTGTTGTTCTTTTTCTTTGTGAAGTAGGTGATAAGATAGATCATTAATTTTGCTTCTTTCTTCCTTTTTTATGTATGTGTCAATTACTATGAACTGTCCCCTGATGACTGTCTTACCTGCAGAGGTAAGGTCAGAGTTTTTGATACATTGTGTTTTCATATTCATTAGTTTCGAGGAACTTTTTAAAAAATTCTTTATTTAGTCTATTACCCAATCATATTCTAACAGGGTATTACTTAACTTCCACTTGGATGGTTATGGTTTTATAAGCTTTATCCACTTGTGGTTGACTTCTGGTTTTATGGCATTTTGGTCTGAAAAAATACTTTGCGTTACTTCAGTGTTTTTGAGTTTATTGAGGCTTGCTTTGTGTCCTAGTAACAATCAAGTGTGGATAATGTCCTGTGTGCACTTAAGAAGAAAGTGAATACAGTTCTGGTTGGGAGCAGCACTCTGAGTGCATCCACAAGGTCAAGCTGTCCAATTGTAGTTTACATCTTCTGCAACTTTGTTAAGTTTCTTTTGAGTGGACCTATTCTTTGATGTGAGTGATATGTTAATGTTTCCTACCACCATTGTGGTTCTGTCTATTTCTTTCTTCAATTCTATTAACCTTTGTTTTATGTATTTTGGAGGGCTATAATTTGGTACATAAATAATGACCAAGGTTATATCTTCTATTTCTGTTGCAACTTTAATCATTATATAGTTTCTCTTCTTGTATATTTGATATGTTTTTATCCAGCATGCAGGCTCTAGTGTGTTTAGTTTTGAAGTTCTGCGTCAGTCAATATCTAATGTAGCTATATGAAAAAAAATGCTGGAGACATTATCAAACATTTGTGGCAGTTTTAAAGTAATTCAGACTATACGTAAATATTACATTTTTGTCTCCTCTTTCCTCTTTGTTTTGTCTAGAAAGTTGCTGTAAAGATTGATCCCGTGAAGATTTTTCTCTTTGTTGTCCTTTGATGCTGAAACTATTTTATGTAAAGTCAGAGACAATTACATTGGATGCCTTAATTTCATTGCTTTAAACCCAATTTCCTCTTGACTGTAAACTTATATTTAGAGAATTTTTCTTTCTTTAGGCCAAACAGATGTTTCCAAAAAAAGAAAAAAATTTTTTGTCTTTGTTTTTGTTTCTCGTTTAAAGAGGTCATAATCCTTTGGAGGATCTTCAGTTCATTGTGTTCTTTTCCTTTGTATCAACATGTTTGACAACAAAATTTAAATCACTTTTGGGCAGAAACGTACACTATAATTAATTTGGTCATGTTCATTGATGAAATTCCTAGATTTCTCAATAATAACATTACTTTGGACTCCTAGGTAAAACCAATTTGGCAGTTGTTTGTTGCTAATTTATATTCATTTGAAATAAAATCTATTATTGGCCAAATTTTAGTGGATTGCTGAAAGGAAACTTATCCATTTGACTTTTATCTGTGTTTTTATATTCTAATTATGAGTACCTCCTTTTGGTTTATACAAATAATTTGTCTAACACAAAACAAAATCAGAAAAGAAATTGAAAAGATGAGAACATGGAAAATGATTCCTCAATTATACCTCTTTCAGATATTGACAATGTTTTTGGCATTCTCTATCCCATTTTTATAGTGTCCAGTATTTTTTTTGCAACTTTTTAAATTATTAATTTTAATGAAAGTTTACAGAGACTTTGGATTTCCATTCACTCATTGTTGCACTTTTCTCCCTTCCCAACCTTCCCCCCACCCCGCCCAGTTCACTCTTCTCTTTGAAAAGTAAACGAAAAATTCTTTCATTGATATATCATCCCTCCCCCAAGTTCACTCCACTATGCAGCCTTTGTTCTGGACTTCTGTCATGACAATAATACCTAATCATATATCCCTATTAAACAGTTCTCTCCCTCATCTGTTTCAATTCAGTATACATAATTTATCCCATCGTTCTCAGTTTTCCCGCAGCCCTGATGTCAGTCCCATTTTACAATAGTGGCACTATGCAGTATTTGTCCTTTTGTAACTGAGATATTTCACTCAGCATAATGTCCTCCAGGGTCACCCATTGTGTATATTTCATGAGTTCCTTGTTTTCCAATGCAGCATACTATTGCATTGTGTGAATTTACCATAGCTTCTCTATCTACTCGTTTGTTGATATTTTTAAATTAGGGAGCTCTGGTAGTATAGTGGTAAGGAGCTGCATTGTCAACCCAAAGGCACACAGTTCAAATCCACCAGCTACTCCATAGAAGAATGATGGCAATTCACCTTCCATGTGATTCACTGCCTCGGAAAACCCACTGAAGAGTCAGCTATGGGTTGGTTCTGACCCAACAATATGTAACAACAGCATGTCTAGAATGGAAAACCAAGAGGGTAAAGGTATAAATCAGAATAAGTGCAACATTGATTCTATCCCAGTGTAGGGGATTGCTATGAATACAGATTACTGATATGCCTTTCTTCAATTCTGATGCCATATTCTTCCTCAAAGAGTCCAGCATCTGGAGTGATTTGCTTTTTATAGAGGTTTAATACATATGAAGAGAGGACACCACCCTGCCATACATCTTTCTTGATTTTAAGCAATGCAGTGTTCCCCTGCTTTATTTAGATATTAGCCTACTGGCTTAGTTATAGGTTTCACATGCATACAATTAAGTGTTTTAGGATTCTCATTCTTTTCAATGTTAGCCACAATTTGTTATGATCCACACAATCAAATGTCTTTGTATAATTAATAAAGCACATATAGACATCCTTCTGATACTTCCTGTTTTCAACAAAGATAAATTTTATATCAACAATGGTATTCCTCATTGGCCTCTTCTACATCTGACTTCTCTGT